TACTCAGATATAAGAAAGCATGAAATACCAGGGTGAACACTCAGCAAGCATAGAACAAGCAAACACAAAAACAGGAACAGCAGACCTCATGTCGATCGACAGGAAGCAATCCTGTCGATCGACAGACTGCGTGTCGATCAACACACCACCATGGCGTCGATCGACAGAGATGCGTCGATTGACAGGAAGCAATCCTGTCGATCGACAGAGCACCTTCTGATCATGGAGATCAAGCCTATCCTCTCATGGCCGAATCTCCACAATCTCCATCGATCACCTGCACAAACCAACCATAGAAACACCAAATCCACACAACCAAACAATCGCATATCATCCAATTCTCATTCTAAGAGCCTATGGTCACGCACTCACCTTAGATTCAAAGGAAACGGATGAAGAACACGAAGAACCCTAATCTAGCACCTCTGGTTCAAACTCTATTAACTCTTCAACCACAGCTCCAAAACAGAATCGGAAAACTGTTCTGGAAACTAGACAGAGAGACCTACACAACGGTATGTAGAACATCTCCTGAGCCCCTATGAGTCTACGGGAAAACAGCCCGAAATCTCGCTGATCGGAACTGGAAAAATAGAGATTTCAGAAACGACACCCTGAAATCAAAAGAATACAGAGAACGGAGATTACCTCCGAATCAGGATCAGAAACCTGATCTAGAAACTAGACAGAAAGAGCTTTCCAACGGCGTATGAATCGTCTCCTGATTCTCTCTGGTTCGACGGGAATCCTTCCTCGAAGCGGACTGATCGCAGACTCGAAACTGCAGAAATCTCTCAAGTTCAAAGGACCATAACTCAGCGAATACTCAACCAAATCACAAGCGGTTTTCGCCTACATCAAGAGCAAAGAAAGGAGAACTTACCCTCAAAATTTCCCTCCAATCAGACTTGATCTCCCTCGTCGTTCGTCTCCTCCAAAACGACGGATAAACTTCCAAAAATCTCTCAAAACTCTCTCCTTCTCTCTCAACACGTTTTCTCTTCTCAAAAGCGGCTAAAAAGACTGAGAAACACGCCTCTCACGTCTTAAATACTAACCCTAGGGTTTCGCCCTAAACCGACCAAAACAGAGCGATTTGAAAACAAACCGTCGGTCCAAATTCAGCCTGTGTCGCGCGACACAGCGCTAAACATACAAAATTTGCGTTTTTAACGCTTGTCACGCCACCCACACAACCGACAAATCACATTTCCGGTTCACGGACGTTACAGTGACATGATTAGAGATCGTTACATAAGATAGGAGATAACACAAAATACAATATTTCAGTTATGACATCACTTGATGAGAGATATCTAAATCTATGATTAATATCTAAATGTTTAAAACAAAAAAAAAATATTTATCCAGTTCTAAAATGAGCCTTTCTTGGCTCTTGAGTCTTGATCAAAGAAAGTATCCACCATTACCCATAGCCTTCTCAGTTCTCAAACACAGTCTCAACTTCACAATTATACGATCGTTACGAGGCACGTCGTTCCAAAAATGTTTGGAATGAGAGCGGATTTATTTTGTATATATTTGTTGGTGTTTTGAATGTCATATTACATTTGCTAGCATCATGTATAATACACTGATGGAATTTGGTAAATGATCTATCAGTTTGAGAAGAGAGTATTAAAATTATTATTAACCACCCATTATATATTACACAAACTTCTTCACAAATGCTATTTGTTTGATCACTCTCGAGTTTTGTCATGTTTTGATCACAATTTTTTTACTTGTAGTGCCTTATGAATCATCAAGAATTATAAGTTCCATACCAAAATAAACAACCGTAAAAAGGGGGAAGTTTAAGCAAGTAAAATAGTACCGCGTTAACTCGCAATGAAGAATACATTTTTGATTTTGCCAAAACGGAATCATCAAATTTTCTGTCCAGCCATATGATATAGATGAAACAACTTTTAATTTTCACTATCAACCTCCCTAAGCCAAATGAATACTCTGCTTAATTTGAAGATTGTGGTGGCATAAATACAATATAGATAACGTACCTCGAAATCCATATTTCCTACACTAAACAAGAGAATTATAAACCTTGTTGACGAAGTTTTGCATAGGGAAACAGGGCATTC